AATCCAGTAAAAGTAGAACACAACAAAGCAATCTTTTCTGTTTGGCCAGGCAAAAAACGTTCAATAACGCCAGGTTTAGCCAAAACTTGTTGAATCTTTTTTGTTCCGCTCAGAGAAAGGCGAATATTTGGGGAAAGGATTGTTTTTGAACGTTCCATGTCGTAACGGATATTCCATTCTTTCTCCTATAAAATAATTTTTATTAATAATATCCATTTGTGAGAGACTTTTATTTATTACTAGAGTGCTTAGATAAGGCAACCTTCTTACTTCATCTAATAATTACCCCTCTAAATCTAATCTAGATATTTCAATTCCCCCCTCCCTCTCCTTTTATAAGTATCCACCCTTATAATTATTAACAATTTTCATACACTAGGAAAGTGTTCAGGCAAATATCCATAAGCCATATGAATCAAAGCTACTTTTCTACCATCAGCATACATTATATAATCACTTTCATTGAGGCAAAGCCTTTAAATTTATTTTTAAAATATTTAAATAAAAATTGTTTTCTTCCCCCAACCTTTGTGTTGTTTCTTTAATTGACATTCTAACAACATTTATATAAATTCCTTCTTTACGTGCTAATTCTTCTAGCTCGAACTAAGAAAGAAAATTTAAAAATTTAATTAAAAAAGATCGCTAACTTGAATAAATTGTAGCTGTTCAAAATGGCAAACAGGGAATAGCTCAGGTTGATTCATAAACACAATCACAGCCTTTATAAAAAATAATTAAAAATCATTTTTAATTCCCCCCATTCAAACATTTTTATCTCCAAATAATTTCCAAGCATGTAATATTGCTTCAGCCATTCCCTTTCTTGGACAATTTTCTGGCAATTTTCCATTAACAGTTGAGGAAAGAGGTTGTCCATAACGTAAATTCCCAACCTTTTCTAACATCCTTTTGTGAAGCTTTGACATTAAAGTGGCACAACCTGGGCCTCCAACTTGGCCAATATTTACTTCAACCTAATTAGAAATATATTTTAAAATATTCTATGATTCTATATTTTTTACTGATTACTTGAGAGGACTTGAATATAACTCAAAGGGGGTGTCAAATATTTATTCAAAAAATTTGTGATCCTAGGTTCTCTGTCTATTATGTAAATAAGTTTGATAACTATTTAATAAGAAATATGTGTGTCTACAATAAGGCCCCATCCTCTAACTCAATCCCATTAATTTTCTGAATTTTCAAAAAATAATCTCCAACATTTTTCAACTCCATTTTGTGTTGTTGTTCATCCCAATGGGACATATAATCAGCTCTTTGGAGCTGCACAGAAATATTCTGTCGAATTCCATCTTTCTTAACCATCTCCATTAATTCAATTTGTTTAGCTATCCACTTAAAAAATATTTTTTTCTTAAATATTTTTAATTAATTTCCCAACTTTATCAGCTTTAACAACATCTCTATAAGCATCAACGAGGAAATCATGATCCAAAGATATACGGAAATATAATTCACTCAATGTTTCCTGAACAGCTTTAGCCTTCTCAAAAAGTTCAGCAGGAAAGGGAGAAGGCATTAAAGCAATTGGTGGTGTTATCTTTATTTAAAATTAAAAGATATAGTTAAGAATTTTATTACGGAGAGGTCATGACAATCTTTTCGATCATTCCATAATGCCACATTTCCTTTAAATTTTATATATTTTAAAAATACAAGAATTGTTACAATAGTTACCAATAGTGTGGGAGTAGTCAATGGCATAACTGAAAAGTTTGAATTAATTAACTTTTCTTTGGGTCGTTAGTGAGATAGAATTGTTAAATTTGGAAGCTTCTGAGAGGCCTCACCTCTTCTCTCAATTTCAAGACAAATAACCTTATTATGAAAGTCAATCAAATGAATCAAAACAGCTCGGGTTTAAGATTGTTTAAAACCCCAAAAAAAACTATTTTTTTCGTTCCCATTATCGTTGCTCCCAAAAATTTTTCTAAATTTGAATAAACAAACCAGCTTAATTCCGCGAGTGTTTGTTCATCGGGAACAGCTTCCAAAACATAATTTCTTGGCGAAACAATAGTTCCGTTAATATTATTTTGGTTATTATTATTAATTAATTGTTGTGGCATATTAACTTTTTGTTTTTCTTTGGTATTATTAGATTTTATATTATAAAATTGTGAAGAGGAAAAATGAGAGGAAGATGAGGCCATTTTTAAGGAAAGTAAGAAATTTTAAGAAAAATGTGAGGAGTAAGGAATGAATTAGATTGACTGTCTTTAACTAATTTAAATAATTTCTTGATTGTGGTCAAAGTAATATAATCGGACAGTCCATTTATCAACGAAAAAATCGGAGAGATAATTTTGGTTAAACACTAAAAGGTATGGAGATTGGAAAATAAATGCAAGTCCAAAGAAGAATTAATTGTTATTTTAATAATTAAAGGCCACCCAAGGAGAGCAATTAATCCGTGGTTTTGTTAAAATAAATATTATACTATTACTATATAGGACTCTTTTTATTTTTAAATATTTAAAGTACAATATATATTAACTACATATTCATTAAAAATAACGAGCCAATAATTTTCATTTAAACCTTAACTTTAATTTATACACATAAAGAGTAATAAAATTCTAATAAAAAATTCTTGCATGTTTGTACTTGGCCCGACAATTTTTATCAAAAATTATCATTGGCAGTAACAAAAAATAAATTCATGGCATTCACATGTCTTTAATGGGCCGATATAAATTTATTATTGTACTTATTGCATCAGCCTTTCAGACGGAAAAGCAATCGAGAAAAAATTAACAAGGAAGCAATCAAAAAATAATTTAAGAAAAAATAGCCAGACACTGTCAATTAAAATAATTAAATGAATAAAAAATTATAGAGAACTCAAAGTCCTTATAAGGGAGGCAGAAGGATCGGTAAAGAACTCTAAATATTATGAAGATTAATGGACAACCACATGCCTTTAAATACATATTTGTGTTTGTTTTTAAGATAAAAACACAAGGAATGTTTATATTTTTGGTACTTTTTTGGGTTAATCAAAATATTATTATTTATTTTAGGTACAAACAAAAATATCAGTTAATTTAAATATTTATTTGAGTTGTTTGCTTATTTACATATAATTCAAATAATAATTATTATTTTAGTCCAAACAAACCAAAAAATAATAATAACATCCTCTCATTGGCCCAATTTTTAAATTAATTTGCCCACTATTTTCTTATCAGTAAATGATAAAGAGATAATTTGGTGCTTTTATAGCGACATCTAAAATATAGAGAGAGGTAATAAATATTTACTAAATAATTATTGCCAAAGTATAAAGTAAATATTTAAAGTCATGCTGTGTATGTCGGTGCAAGTTTCGTTGATAATTTTGAATTTATTTTTGAAGGGTAGAACATAAAAATACAGACTAATATTTAAATTAGTTTTTTTTATTTAGTGGAAAATGAATAATAATAGATTTAATGGACTTTTATTTTAAAAGACGTTAATATAAATATTTAGTGAATTATTAAAAGGGGTTTATGATTAATTCAGAAAATATGCGATGTAACGACAAAGGCATAAAAAAGAGTTACATTTTTAAAAGTACAATTATTCATAAAATATAGCTCCAGACATATTCAGTTTCTATTGTATTTTTACACTTTTCCAATAATAATATTTTGCATTAAATTATTTTGAAATTTATTTTTGATAATTAAATTTTTATAAATTATTTTAAATATAAACAATTTAAATATAAAATAATATTTATTATTTACAAGAATTTTTGATTTAAATTTTTATATTTACCTAGCCTATTTTTCATTGAAATTATTTCTGCTAATATAACGTGGTGTGTAGAAAAGTTGCAAAAATAATTTCTAGTCAAGGAGAAAAAAAATAATTTCAATGAATAATTATGTACTGATATGTTTTAAATATGGGTATATTTTTTGTCTTCTAATTTTTAATTTATGTGAAAATATGGTCAGATTTACATATTTGCAATAAATGATTCGAAAAAAAATTGAAAGAAAAAATAAATTTATTTATCTAACTGTTTTTCATCTAAAATATTCAAAAGTAAATCATCTTGTCAAAATTAAAATTCACAATAATCTCAAAGTTTTCTATTTTAAAAGAAAATTCTTAAATTAATCGTGCAATGAAGAAGGGGAGATTTATCTGGCTAGCATTTAAAATGCTTACTTGGTGGAAGTTTAAGATATATGTATTAAAAGGGATGGTGAAAACAAATATACCTATTTCAATTTGTGTACGCGTTGAATCAAGTAGCTTGGCAATAACTGCCACAATGTCGCAGGATCAAAGCCTGCCCGTGGTTAAGCTTTTACCTCTCTTTACTCTTTTAATTGTTAAAAATTAAAAAAAAATTAAATAAATAAATTAAAATAAGCATTTATTTAAATTAGAACAATTTCCTCTTTTAGCTAAAATACATTGAATTCCATTATCTTTTAATTCTTTTTCTTTAAATATCCATTTATTATTTGAACAATTAAATTTTAAATTTATTTGTTTCTTATTTGTAATAGACAAAAAATGTTCGCCAGATGCATCCAGTATAGCTAACTGTATTTTTTCTTTTAAAAATTCTCTCATTTTACTCCTGTAAATACAAGAAAATGAAATTTAAAAATAACAGCTATAGATTTTTTTTGACAAATTTTATTATTTAAGAGAAAAATCATATAACTTTAGCTTTCGAGTTATTTAAGATTTGTTAGTAAAGCTAGTCTATTTTAATAGTTATTGGCGAAAAACTAACTTTTGTGAACACGAGAAGATCTATCTTTTAAATATTTAATTTATCTTATCAATTTAAGAGATTTAGGCTTTCTATGAACATTTCGGCGCCATCTTGGGTCTACCAATTTAAGATCAATTTTTTGGAGGGATATCTTAAGGAAAAATAAATAAAAAGTATTTATTTATTATATCCATGCAATTAACTTCCATTTTAAATATTTAACTTATAACAATTAATCTAAAAAAAATACTTACAAACAATTAATTTTTACTTTATCAAAACAATTATTATTATTTCCATAATATTCCAAATTTAAATGGCCATTATAAAATTTTGTTGATTTAATTTCTTTTATTAATTTACAACAATTAATTGGTTTTTTGGTTGTTTTAATTGTTGTTTTTGTTTGTTGGGGGGAGGTTGTTTTTGTGGTAGAGGTGGAGGAAGAGGTGGAGGAGTGATGTTTTGGGGTTGTTTTGGTTGTTATTGTTGTCTTTTTTGTTGTTGTTGAAGGCTTTAATGTTGTTGTTTTTGGAATTAAATTGTGGGAAGTTGGATGGCAGGCATTAGCAAATAAATAAAAAATAAAAATATTTAAAAACCAAAAAAATGAAAACATTTTTAAAAGAAAATTCTCTCAAAAAATTTATTTTTATGGATAAAAAAATAAAGGTGGAAAAAACTTTAAGAAATTGAGAGCATTTTTACGTAAATATTTTATATGCCAATTTTTAAGTCGTCATTTTATTGCTGATTAATCCTTCCCGTAAAGATTTTCTCTTTCTTTTTTGTTTACTAATAAAATTTTTAAAATTTATTAAAAATATTTTATTATTTTCTCTATTTTTTTATTTAAAAGATTTATTTTCAAATTATTTTAATTTTAATTATTTACATATATTTTCTAATAAAAGTAAAGCACTGGGCTATAGCTATTTCTCTCCTTCAGCTAGTGCAAAAGGTTAATTAGCGGTTGTCTGGTTGCGAACCCGCATCTTCAGTAGACCGGACTGATGTTTACAAATGTTGAGATGCAAAATTCTAAAGAAAACTTATCTTTTATTTTTAAATTGAATTTCTAAATATTTAATTTTTTATTTAAATTTTAATTCTTTTTTTAACTTTTTATTTTTCCATTTTTAATAAAAAATCATTAATTCCAAAGTTTAAATTTTCTTAAAATAAATTTTATTTCTTTTTATTTAAACTTTTATTTAATCAATGAGAGATCAATTTGTGACCAATTTTTTTTCTTCATTGTGCAAATTAGACATTTAAAATAATTAATAAATTAAATAGACAATGTTTAATATGCAGTATATCTTAATTAAAAATGACGTGATGTTTCTTAGAATTTTTTTGGAAATACATAAATAATTTGGCTATATTTGTTTGTATTATTATAAATCACAATATAAAATAAACCTGTTTTTGTTCTATTTAGATCTGATCCCTATTTGATCACTTTTAGAACATTTTTTTGAATTAATAATTAATTTATATAAAAAATTTTTGATTAATTAGTTAATTAAACAATAATTTATATGTCAGTTAAAAAATTGTAAAAAATTGTTTGATATAAAAATAAAATTCTTCCATTCCTCCACTTCAATTAAAAATTAAATTTAACAATTCGGAAGTTGTTTACCTCAAATAAAAATTATTTTTTAAATAAAAATTCTTAAATTTATTTCTTCAAAATGTTTAAAATATTATTATTTTTAATTTTTATATTTGAATTAGCTAATTCTGACGGAGATTTTTGGACAGAATTTTTAACTAAAGGATCTTATTCTTATGGAAGTGATAAAGTTTGTTGTTTAATTATTTAAATTTTATGAGGACAAACTTGGATACAAATATAACTTTACTTTTTTTTTCTTTTTAAGTTTTAAGGCTACATATCCCACGTAATTGAAAGTGGAAATATTATTTTTTTCTAATTTTATTTTTTCAATATTAAAACTAAATAATTTTTGTTAACTAAAACAGAGTATGCCTCTCGATTTGGGTGTATTAACTGGTGGAGGAAGTGACAATAATCCGTTGGCATTTTTATTTGGAGGAGGAAGATGATAAAAAATATTTTCTTTTATTTTTGAGTGCAAAATTATAAAAAAATTAAATTTTAGTTTTTTGCAAAATTTCTATGTAAAATAAAACATTAATACTATGCGGCAACATAAAATAAAATTTAACGAGATCATTTGATTAATACAAAAATTTAAAAATTAATTAAATTAAATTTATTGTAAGAGTAAAGGGAAGGCGATTGTTGAATAGATTTTGGCGCAGCTATAGCAAGGCTCGGGCCAATATATTTATACACATTAGGGACGTCCAATACACGACGTTGTTTTCTTCGTCTAAGTCTTGATGATGATATTGTTCCGTCATGATCTCAACTTTTTTGAGGCCTTCTGAAAATGTACTTGATTGATTAAAATGCAAAAATTTCGACAGATCTTGTAAAAAGAAAAGTTTACATTGCCTGTTTTCTAATAGATGAAGTTTTAACTCTACGCCCAATCACCCACTAATGAAACAAGAAACTTTGATTGGTCAAATCACAATTTAAAATTTAAAAATAATCTTTCTTTTAGACCATTAAATAATTAAAAACCGTTCCACCATTTAAGTCAAAATTTTTGAGTACAAAATAGTTTATATAAAATGTTCTTCAAAATCATTAAAAATTGTCACAAAAAATTTAAATAAAAATGTTAAAAAATATTTTAATTATTTTTCTATTGATTTTAATTATAAAAATGTCAAAATCTGAAGAATTTATGGAAAATTTCTGGAAAGATATGGCAGAAAAAGGCTCTTATTCTTATGGAAGTGAAAGGGTTTTTAATTCATTTTTAAAATTAAATTAATTTTTAAATTTAAAGATTGCCCCTCTTGATTTGGGGAAATTATTTGGAATAGAAAGTGGAAGTAGTGGTGGTGGAGGTGGAGGAGGGGGAGGAGGGGATAATAATCCTTTAGCTGGATTATTTTCTCTTTTTGGAAGGCGCTGATGATTTTGTTGATTCTGGTGATGAAATTGATTTTAATTTTAAGGATATTTATGGTTTTTAGTGAATTTATGAGGTTGGCAAATATAAAAAGATTGGATATTCTATATATGAATGTCCAACATATATCCAGAAATATGAGATACCGATCTGTCAACTTAATATACACGATTATTTTTATAGAATCAGGCTATTTATTTTTTGTTGTTTTCTCATTTATTTTTTAGACTTGTATTTATATTTAAATACTAATTATTTTTAATAAATAAATAAAAGATTTTTGTAAAGTATTTTTTATTTTCCAAATACCTTATTTTACTCCGTATTACCCCATTTACACCGTACACACCGTATTACCCATGGCAAATAAACGAGAATAAAATTAAATCTACCTATATTTAATTTTAAAGTAAAATAAACATACAGATAATTAGAATTTTAATTAAAATAAATTATTTTGATAACACTCAAAACAAAAAACAAACAAATCCTAAAATAAAGAGTAAAACCAAAATTAAATAAAAATTTATTAAATACATATACCTATTTTCTTAAAAATATTTTTTTAAATTAAAAAAATATTTAAAAATTATTTTTAATAAAAAATACTTTGTAGTCCTTTAAATATACTAAATTAGTATGTAGTTGTCATCAAATAAATTTAGCTAATTTATTATTCAGAAAGAATTTTTTGTTAAAATTATTGCGCGGAAAAGAATGATGCTAACAAAAATGTTTTTTTCTGTTTTTTTTTTCTAAAAAGAGAATGATGGAACGTCTACAATGAAAAAGAATTGTTTTGAAAAAAATATAGAAAAGCAACAATTACATATGAAAAAAAATAGGAAGAAAAGTGTGGCCAAAATTAAATTGTTTAAATTATAATATTTAGAAAAAACTAAAATAATTTGAATATCTAAATCAACTATGTAAAGAAAAATTAAACTTGAAATGAAAAATATTAAAAAATGATTAATAATTAAAGAAAGGCATTTTTCCGAAGAAAATTAATTTTCAAATTAGTTTAATTTTTATTTTAAAAAATATTTTTAATTCAAAACCTTTTTTGATCATAAAATTATTTTATTTAAATTTAAAGAATTTTTTAAAAAAGCTTTTGTTCGGCGAGACTTTTTCGGGTTGTTTAAATGGAAATATATTTAAAAATTTAATTATGTGTATTTTGTAAATAAATTTAATTTCTAAATTGAAGCAATTAAAAGTTTAAATTAAAAATAATTTTTTATTTTTATTTTAAAAAAGCCCAGAGGCGAGAAATTCACACGACGAGTAGCACAAAGAATGCGCGACAAATACTTGAGGACGACGAAAAAAAGTTTGTTTATAAAAACTACCGGAATACACGGAACCAGAAATAAATAAACTTGGAAAAAGAGAAGAGGGGAAACTTTTTTTTGTAAAAAGCCATTGTCTTTATTTTTTATACAACCCCCCAACTACCCAAAATTTTTTCTATGGCCAAATTAATGTTTTATATTTAAAATTAAGGTCAGCAGGTGATCGTTTCCTTCTTTTTCTCGGCCATTTTTTCAATGCTTTCTTTTAAATGATTGACCTAATGTTTAAAGCGAAAAGAAGGAAAAAAACATTTTTTAGTTAATTTTATTACGCGTTCCCTCAATGATTTTTTTTTCAAAAAAATTTTTTTTCGTTTCTTTTGTTATTTGGCCCTCTCCAAAATTAATTTATATATTTTATTTATTTCTTTAAACTCTCAAAAATTTAAAAATATATTTATTCTCCCAAATATTTTACTTTAAATTTTTTTCTTTGTCTTCCCGAGGTTATTTTAAACTGTTTTTTTATTAAAATATTTTATTTATTTATTTTAACTTTTTCTATATTCATTTAGTTAAATTAGAATATTTTTTAAATTATTTTTTTAATTAAAAAAATAAATATTTTTTTAATTTATTTTACTTTTAATACTATAAAATTTTAATTAGTAAATATTTAAAAATTTATTTATTTATTGCTATTTTTTATTTCATTCATTTTTATATAAAAATAAATTTTTGGAAAAAGAAATTTCAAAAAATAATTTTTTTAATTTTAATCATTTAGAATTAGGGTTACCAGCTCGCTCGAACCGAAACTCGAAGGATCGAGCGAGCCGAGGCTTTCCAGCTCGAAAACGAACCGAATCGGAAAAAACCAAGCTCGAAAAAATGCACTGAACGTCAGCTCGAATCGGAAACGGCAACCCTATTTAGAATCCCTTTTTTCTTCGTTATCTCAACAATATTTTAATTAACTCAGAGATATGAGTCTGACCCGAGCCGAAAAGCTTTAGCTCCTATTTTCTAAAATTATATCTACAAATATTTTAACACAAAATTTAAATAATTTTTTTAATTTAAAAATTTTAGAAAATGAAAAGAAAAAGAATATTTCAAAATTTTTATTTATTTTTTATTTTTTTGTTGTCTACTTTTGCACAACAAATACAAAAACCTTCAATTACTTCCTCCTTATTAAGTAACCATACTCGACAAGTTAGAACAGATTGTTCTGATGCACCAACACAAGTTCTTAAACAAACTTGTCTTAAAGTTTGCTTTTAAATAATAATTAATAAATAATATAAAATCCTGAGATTTTACATAAATAAATCTGAGAATTTTCTTAGATAAAATTTCTTTTAAATTGATGATTAAATTATAATACCTAATTATTTATAACTTTTCTTCGAAATAATGAGCAAATTAACGCTGCTAGCTAAAATTAACGTTATTCATACATATTCAATTTATAAATTATTGAAAGATAAACATTATTTTGATAAAAATGAACAAAAATTTAAAGAATTAAATTAAGCATTTCCTTCCTGTTTACTACCAAATTATTTTATTTTTTAAATTTTATTTCATTAATTTTTTCATAAAGTTACGCCAAATTGATCGAAAAGCCCGTCAAGCATTAACTCGTCGTGTAGATGATATTTTCCCTCCTTCAGTCCCTGGATCGCCTGTATGGCTTAGACCTTTGCCTGTTTCTCGTAATTCTCGTGGACAAGTTGCCTGGAATCCTTATGATTGTATGACATTGCAATGTTTGTGTCCTTTCTTTAGGGTAAATTTTGGAAAATAAAAGTTAAATCGAAATAATTTCTAAATTAAATAAAGGGAACAATGCGTGATGATGGTTATTGTTATTTACGTAATGGAAGGCCTTTAGCTATTGCTTACAGAAAAGAGGTAGATCATAATATCAAAAAAAGTTATCTATCTTTTTAAGAAGGACTGAACCCAGATCTAAAAAATTTCAAACTTACATACCCCCAATCATATTTTAGTTGGATTTCCCTTAGCTTAAATTCTTTCAATTTATTTATAGCAACTCGTTTCTTTAGCTCAGACCTCAAAATTAAAATTAATAAAAAATTTTTCGAAATATTTTCAGTATAGAATGATGACAGATGATGAAAGGGAACGTTTTCACTCAGCATTTAATCAACTAAAATTTAACGGGGAATATGAGAGATTTGCTAGAGAACATCAATCTGTAAATTAATAAAATTATATAAAAAATAAAAATTAAACAGGTAAGTCAAGGAGGTGCTCATTCAGGCCCAGGTTTTCTTCCTTGGCATAGAGAATTTATTAAAAGAATGGAAATTGCTTTACGTTTAATTGACCCAACAGTAGCTCTTCCATATTGGGATTCTGGTAAAATTATTTTTTTGAAGGAGAAAATATTTAATTTTAAAAAGTTCTCGATGTTTATTTACCCGATCCAAGGGATTCAATTATTTTTTCTCCTTTATTTACTGGGGAGATTGATATGAATGGATTTGTGGTTAATGGACCTTTTGCTTTTTGGAATACAATTGAGGGAAGGAATACTATTTGGAGGTAATCAAATAAATATTTAGGGCACACCCCGATGTACCGCAAGCCCAATATACCGCCGAGCTATAACTTTTTATAAATTGTCGAATCTGTGGGGCCCAGGTATGGTTCGATGCGGCTTGACCAGCTGAATTGAATTATACCGGGGCTCTCTTTATGGTATACATTTCTGTTTCAGTCACTAATTTTAATTTTAGTAAGATAAAAAGAAATTTTATCGTTTTTAGACCTCTATAAGATACATTTAATCACAAAATTCCAATTATTTTTTACACCATATTTTCTATTTAAAAGGACACTTTCTGGAGAGGGAGGGCTATTCAATGAAGGTCTGTTATACCTATACAATTTTCCCCTTAATTATCACCTTTATTTTTTCAATAAAGGTCAATTGTCTTCTGTGGCCAATGAACCAAATATAGAACATGTATGTAATATTCAATATTTTTTAATTTCTAAATTATTTATTAAGGTCCTCTCATATACAGTCCCTCTCGCAGGATGTCCAATACCCGTAAACTTCAATGCTTTGGAATACTCCCATTCAAATATAGTGCTGAAAATAATTTTTTAAATTAATTTCTAAACAAAGAAAATTTATTTTAAATATTTTTCAGCATTTTTGGGTAGGCGGCGATATGAGGGTATTTTTTAATTAAAATTATTTATTTAAAAATAAATTAAAAAGGTGCCAGAAACATCAGCAAATGACCCAATCTTCTACATGGTGTAAAATATTTTTTAATTTATTTTTATTTTAAATATATAAAAATTATTTTAGCATCATTCTTTTGTTGATTTAATTTTTGAAATTTGGCGTCAACGGCAACAGAGAAAGTTTGTAGTATAATATAAAGGGGCTACTTATATTTTAATTTAAATAATTAATTAATTAATTATATTTCTGATAACCTTTTGGAAAAATAAAATTTTGTTGTTATTCAGTAGAAGTTCAAAATAAAAAAAATAATTAGACAGCGATCTTCTTATTTAAAAAATAAAACAAAGAATAAAATTATTTTATCACAAATCAAGAAAAAAATATTAAATATTTATTTATAAATTATTAATAAAGAAAATAATATTTATAAATTTAATTTTTTAGAGATGTTAGAGAATGGGCTTACTCACCCAGTTAGTTTTTGTTTTTCTAAAAAAATTTAATTAAAATAAAAAATAGATTTGTGGTCATGTGGAAATGAATTTCATTTTTCCTATGCTTGGATGAGGCCTTTTGATTTTCTTTCTAATCAAGATGGTTTTTATTTAAAAAATTTTTTAAAATTTAATTAAAATTTAAGGGTTATCTAATGCTTATACCGATCAATTATATCGAGTAATTTTGAATATTTTTTATAATTAAAAACTCCTATAATTAGTATGCTCAAAGGCCAACGTGTTCAGCACAAGTCCCTACTTGTGGATCTAGGCAAGTCTTACTAAAGTAAATAAAGAATATTTTTGACTCTTAACGGGTATGGGGGATTTTAAATTATCTGAACTACCTCATTTACTAAAAATGAAATTATCAATGTCATATTTAGTATAGAAATAAAAACTGGCTTAATTGTTAATAAAGTTGAATATTTCTAATTTCATCTTTTCATTAATACAAATAAAATCATATTTAAAAGACTTTTCATCTAGATATTTGTTTTGCGATTTCAACCATGGATTTCCTCATTGTGTAGCCAAAATAAAGTTTGGTGGTATCTGTGAGGGTTTTGACGGAATGGATGCTTGTTTTAACGGTCAATGTATTTTTGGAAGATGCCAACAAGGGCCCACACCTCCAGTGAATTTTAATGTTATTTAATACTAACACTCCCTTAAATTTAAAGCCCTGGCGCCCAACCCCTCCCCCAACACCTCCACCACCTCTACAGCTTAGGCCAATGTCTAGAGGAATTCAAAGAAGAGGAAATCAAAGGCGTATCCCCCCTCCACCCCCTCCAATTGTAAGAAGACTTTTAAGACGTCCAATAGAATCACAACAAACTCGAAGATTTTTAACACGTCAAATGGCGGCAACAACACATAAACATTTTATTAATTGTTTTAATATGAATCCTTGTTGTGATCATTGGGCAGAGAATGGGGAATGTAAAACAAATAAAAAATATATGGAAAAATATTGTAAGGAGGGAAATTTTTTAAAATTTATTTTGTGAGATAAATTCTCTATAAATTAGGTTTTAATTAAATTTCGGATATTTAAAATAGCCCGTAATAGTTCAAGAAAAAAATATTTTTTAAAGGCAAAGCATCTTGTGAACTTTGCACGCCCAATTTTAATATAACAAATGAATGTGTAGATAGACATGTTAGTTGTAAACAATGGAAGGAAGGAGGGGAATGTTTGGGGAAATCGAAGTTTGTTGTTATTGTTTTGAAAAATAAATAAAATTTTTGTTTTAAAGGTTATTTTTACAAGAAAATTGTCGAGAAAGTTGTGGATTGTGTAAACAAAATAAATATGAAAATTCTTGTCTTCCACAGGGATTATTAGTAATTTATTTAATTTAATAATTAATTTAATTTATTTATTTTTTAGTTACACGAACACAACAAAAATATAATTAAAGAATTAAAAAAGAATGGAAATATTACTTTAGAAAATATTCCCTTTAGAAATTAAGAATTATTTAATTGGCCATATTTTTAAATAAAAGATCTCAATTTTGTATTTTATTTTTAGAAAAATTATTTTTTAATTAAAAAATATACTATTTTATATTTTAAAATTTTGTTTTAAAAAAATTCCAGCTTTTTACTATTTTTCAAGATTAAATTTCCCCAATTTGAACCCTAATTTAATCTTTCAACAGGTCATTTTGAAAGGGCTTCTATTAGAAAATGGGAGTTTATATTTCAATCTTTACTTGTATCCCATTAGAATCTCTACGGAGATTTGGTGTATATTTTTGGATGGGCTTCCATGGGATGAGTTCTAATAAAGCCGAGCTTTAATTAAATCATTTACGGGAATTAGAAATAATTAAATTTGTAAAAAGTATTTATCAAAAATTAATTTTGAAAATTTAAAATCACATACATAAAAATTTAGTACATAAATTCTAAATTACATCTTTCATTAACTTCATTCCCCATATTTCTTAAAAGAATTTGCCTAAATTAAAAAAATCTTTTTTAAATAAATAATTTCTGTAATTTTTACAAACGTTTTTTTCTTTCCAAATGTTTCATTCATTATTTCCTTCAAAACAATAGAATTTCCAAAAATAAAATCTTTAAAAGGGTCGGGTTTAGCAACTTTAATTACTTCAAATAAATATCCTTTTCTCCATCTAAAAATAGTATCAGGTCCTCTTCCATGATATCGATACTTAAAAAAATTTTTTAAAGACTTTTTAAAGCTAAAAAAACCAAAAATCGGAAAGAAGCTTTTAATTTATTTTCATTTTCTTTTAATATTTTATCAAGTTTTTGGAAGAATTTATTTTCTTCTTCAACAACAAATTCACCTCCGTGAAAATAACTACTTAAAGTACATTTAAATGTTTCTAAAGCCTAAATTTATAATTTAAAAATAAAATTTAAATAAAATTTTTTTACATTTAAATCCTTCAAAAGTTTCAACGCATATTCACTATGCAAACAAAATGATTGTGGATTACGTAATTCCAAGTTCTAAAAATTGAAAAAAAATTGTGGGTGATTGTGGGGGTTTTTTACTTTCCTAAAAACTTCTCAATAATTTGGAAAATTATTTGGATATCTAGAACTGAAAAAGTTTGGGATAATCAAAAATCTATGAACAACTAACTATGGGACAACAAATCCATCAATTCTCCCCTTTTTGGTATTCCCTTTCAAAAGCTTTTAAGTTTTATGGGTTAGCCCTCTAAAAACTATTTTTAACATAAGTATTTGCTTAATTTAATTAAAAATTAAAATAAATATTAACCGCTAGAGTGAGTAATTAATTGAGGGAGGGTATTTTTACGAGGTTTGAAATTTGAACGTGTTTTAGGGCTTTGTTTTGGGGTAATTATTGTTTCAATCTATTGCTGGATGGGGTAATTAATGGAAGTGGGGTAATTATTTGAGGGAGAGCAATTATTACAGGTTATACGGTAGTAAAACTTCACATTATTTCTTACCCTTAAAGGAGTAATTGAATTTAATTTAATAAATAATTCAAAAATAAAATCATCAAATCTAGCATTTCCATTATCACATAATAACTTTAAAAAATTAATTTTTAATTCAAAAAGAATTCAAAAACTCTGTGAAAAGGCATGGATTCATTTACACAATCCCTCAAAACAATATAAATTTCTATAGAAAGGGAAGAAAGTTTTTTGAATGAATAAAGAGCTTCTAATTGTCGAGCATCTACTGGGCCCTCTAAATCATTAACATAATTTTTCCAACAAAAATCTAAATGTTCCAAATTTGGACAAGAAGAGGCTATTCTTAATAAATCTGACTTGAAAGTAAATTAAATTATATTTTTTAATTTAATTTAAATATACATTATTAAGAGGAGAATAATCACAAACTGTTAATGCACAGAATATAAATTTGGATGAAAATTTAAATCATTTTTATTTAATGTGTAAAAGAAAGGTGAACATAAACTAATAAAAAATAAAATTAGGTATATGTATTACACTTTTCATTCCATCATAACTTTTTTCAAAATTTACATTTTTAAATATTTTTATACTCATTTTGAAGCCCAAACAATTATCCTTCAGGGCCTATAAGCTCAGTTCCATTATTTAACTCTTTCCAAGAGATTCAGCGTTTGCAAAATTTCATCTCCTCGCAAACTTCAGAAAAGCACCAAAAAACTAAAAAAAATTCCGTTAGGAAAGTCTCTGGGAAATTTTTTTCTAAAAAGTATTTAGGCTAGTAGCCATAACTGTGTTCATTTAAAAAAAGTGGCAGAAACCGAACAGTTGGCACGCCCAAGAACGTGAACAGGGTCAGATTCCGAGTATACTCCCATCCATGCGTTTTGGTGATGTAAAGCGCGATGGAAGCTTGTTTGGCCGGAAAATCTATTCGGATTAAGGCTTAAAATGAACTAGGACTTGTGCCCTATAATCTCAGAGAAATTCAACTATTTACCAACTAGGAACCAGATGCAAGTACCCTCTGAGGCAGTTCGAAAGTCAAGTGACACTTTTATTTAGAAGGAAAATTTGTTATGAACGAGACATATCCGAATCATCAAAATGACAGATATTGGCCTCTAAATCTCCTCTTTCTTATACGTTTGTTAAGGATTCCCAACAAACTTCTTCCGAAATGATCTGGAAATGATCTCTACATATATCCGAAATGATCTTTATCATATAATCTTTATTTGATCTCATTATCTTTTAGTATGAAAGTGATGATGGAATGAAAAGTGTGCAATAACTTTCTGGTCACCCTGTAATTTAATTAACAAAAAGAACTTTTTAAAGTACCTAAGAATTTTTGTGTCAGTTAATTCGTCAGTATAATCATTATATTGACTATAAAATAATAAAAATCCAAGTTTTGGACAAATTTTAGAAATTTCGTGTAAATTTTCAACTGAATAATCAAAAATAAATAATTGTTGTAATGTTGAGGGTAAAAACTGTTTTTGATTAATTTCTAAAGATCTTTCAAAAATCTCCTCAAAACGATTGATTCGGAGACATTCAAGTTTTTGACATTTTAAAATTAGTGACAAAAATGCATCGAGAGTTTTTTTCTGCTTTTTTAAAAGAAAATTTAATTAAAAAAATTTTTTTTGGAGTAAAAGAATTATTCTCCTGAATGTGCTCTATCAGAATCTACATATTTCAATTTTCATTTTTACTTGTTAATTAAGGAGAGAAAATCACTTGGAAGTTGCCTAGCTTCAAAAATACAAATTTTTGTATCTTAACTCCTAACTCCCGAAAAATTCCAATGCTTCCGATTTTATGCCAGAAAATAGGCAACTCTCCTAGGATCATAAAAAAAACATACTAACTTGAATTTTGATAATATTTTGTTGAATTTTTATTAATCCGCTTAGATTAAGGGGCCCAAAGCTTAGTCTACACCCTAATAATTTGTTTTTCTTAACGACTTTAATTTTTAAAGTCTTCTAATAAACAAAAGAATTTTTAGAAAATTTACTTTTTTATTAAGAACTAAACCAAACGATAAAAGATTAGGAGCTAAAAACTCCTCAATTTGATTTAAATGCCAAACATCAATCGGTTCCTCCATAGAAAAATGTTGAAGAGAAGGCGTCAAATAATGGAAATAACGGCCTAAACGTGTTGAAACTTTAATTCCTCTTTCAATACAAAGTAATTCTAAATATGGAGCAGACCGACGAATTAAAGCACTGAATATTCCTAACTAAAAGAAGGAAAAAAATATTTTAATGAAAGGAATGGAAGGAATTTTATGAAAATTATTAATTTAATAATTATAGGGAAATATTTTTATTATTAGCTATCTATATTGCCGCCCGAAACCCGGCCTTTTTTTGCACCCGAAACCCGAATTGAAAATTTTCCAACCCAGTGGGCGTAGGTCCAGAACATGCAGAATGTTTTGGAACCATACCCCACCAGCGCCAAAATTTGTTTTTACAGTAAAAATTTTTATTCAAGTTTTTTAACAAAGTTCCGATTCCGGCCAAATTTGCGGTTCCGGCAAAACACTAGAATGCATACAAGCATTCAATCTCTACATAGAAGTTATGATTTTGTACATAATTAAAAATAATTATGTACCAGTCTGATTATTTATTAAAAACTAGAGTTGGGCGGGATCGGGATCCCGGTCGGGATCGGGCGGGATTATCCCGGTTTTTTTGAATCCCGATCTCGATTTTTCTGATCCCGAACCCGAAAGACAAATCCCGATCCCGGTTTTGGCCGGTCCCGATCCCGAGCCGGGATCGGGATTAGCAATCGGATCCCGATGAAATCGGGATTTTATAAATTAATGAAAATATATATTAATGAGCTGAAAAAAGCAATTTGGCTTCTACACTATCCAAAATTTTCAAAATTTTCGCCTGCGGCGCTAAAAATGTAAATTTTGGCTTGAGAATCTTCGAAATTTTTCAAAATTTTTGCCTCCGGCGGTGAATAAGAAGAAACTCATTTATAAAACTATCAACGGATTAAGAAAGATATCAGTGAACCGGATTTCACGGATATCAAGAAGTTAGCAGGATATCATAGTATTAAGTGGATTAAGGTGATAGAATGAGGATTTAGTGGAATCACTTTTAATTACCAAATTAAGGCATTAGCAGGGATATCGTTGAAAATTTTTAAATATCAGTTATTTGGTGGGATATCGAGTGAAGTTGATGGATTAGGGGAGTGCCCTCTTAATCCATCAAAATCACCTTATCGTTAATACTTTATCCCTCTTCCTTAATCCCTGATACGCCAAGAACAAATGCGCGCTGGGACTTAAAGTCAATATTTCAGCACAGCAGATGAAAATTATGGAATTACCGTATTTCCTGAAATAGTACTCCCCCCTGAATTAGCACTCCCCCCTTAAATAGTACTCCCCTTTAGAGGAGGGTTGAAAAATAGTACTCCCCCCTGAATTAGTACTCCCCCTAAAATAGCACTCCCCCCTAAAAATTTTTCTCCTATATTTGAAAAAATAAAA